ATAGGAGTTCGATACCCCCAGTCAATTTTAAATAATCAAAACCAAGAATTTTACACTGGTTGACTTATAAGCGCCATATTTCCTACAGTCTGATTTTCATTCCTGAGTTATAAGAGAAACTGACGTTGTTCCACGCATGTCCTTTAAGTAACCTGGCACGTTGCTGGGTAAACAAAGCGAGAGATAACAAGATGTGTGTGCCAAGAAGTTCGTGCGATGACAATCTCATTAACTAAATATACGTCATATGTAGTTATTAACATTTTAACGTTACTTGATGACAGTTACAAGCTCGTTGCTAATCCGTACACAGAACGTAATTGGATTTATCCTATTGGGATTCACTACAGAAATATATGTTATATTTATTTATTATCTATTAATTAACAAAAGATATGAAAATCGAAAAAAAAAGTCAATTTGAGACAAACTACTCAACGCAAACTGTAAATATTTCTAAAACTTATGCATTCAAAATATATTCTGATTACTTCTAAACGTTTAGCAAACTGTTTTATTTGAAATAACGATGCCTGCTGCCACGTCTAGCAGTATTGCCCTGGGTCAAGAAGTCAAGTATTAACGATAAATTGGAACCGCCATCTATGATCGAGCCACCCCCAGTGGTACAGAGGTATGTCTGCGGACTGACAACGATAGAAACCGAGTTTCGATACCCGTGGTGGGCAGAGCACAGATAGCCCATTGTGTAGCTTTCTGCTTAATTTCAAACAAACAAAGAATCTCTGACCGACGACAAAGTTAGCACAAAGCAATCTATAATATTATTTGTCAGATCCAAAAATAGAATCATTTTTGAAATGACCAAAAAAATCCCTTGAAAACAATTAATATATCCCCCTATTTCTTGTGAAGTAAAAAAAAAGACATTTAAGTAAAAACAATGTGCAATTATTCAATAATGATAGTAAAGACCTACATTAGAACCTCAGGTTTTTTGGTTATAAGTGTTACGTCTTTGTTCGTTAGTTAATTTTCCGTAACTTCGTTCCGACGAAACTTTAGC